AGTAGTAGTAGTAGTAGTAGTAGTAGTTAGTAGTAGTCGTCGTCGTCGTTGCGATGGTAAGGCTGATGTTGGTGTTGTTGGCGGTGGTGGTGCTGTTGCTGGTGCTGGTGGTATTGTGGTTGTTGCTGTTGGTGGTGGTGTTTTTTTTGCCTTGATTGGCAAAACGGTATGACTGACGCTCACGGCCCATGTTGTTCCATCACTACCTAGCATGCAGACGGACAGATGATGATTCACAGATGTGTGTGTGTATGTAAATACATAAATAAATAAATAACTAAATAAATATACATATATATATATATATGCACACACAGGTACTTATCTAGGCAGCTTATGTATATATATATATATGTATACATATGTATATATATATATGTGGGTCAGCATATATGTATATATGTATATATATATATCTTATGCTGGTTTCTGTATGTGTATGTGTATGTATAATATACATATATATATACACACACGCTTAATTCTGTCTATATCTGTATATGTGTGTGTAAAACGTACATGTATTGATGGATGTATCGATTTGTGGACGTATGTGCGATTATTTGTGCACGTCCGTCCGTCCGCCCGTCTGCCTGTCTTTCTGTCCGTCTGTCTGATTGTCTGTTTTTCGGTCTGCAAGGTAGGTAGGTAGGCAGGTATGTAGCTAGGTAGGTAGCTAGGTATATGTACATATACACACAAACACATGTCTGCATGTTTGTGTTATAGATATCGGTTCTCTTAAGACGCTTTGTTTTGACAACCTGCAAAAAATTAGAACCCCAAATCACCTACAGACTTCTAAACCCATATAAGTTAAAAGACAGTACAACAATTCTGTGAAAGCCATAAAGCCCCATAAACAACCCAGAAAAAGCCTCAGGCACCGTCGCCAGAGTCGCCGAGCCGAGTCGACTCTGAGCCCGGTGCTCCCGACAGCTCTCCGCCTATGCCTTCGGGGTTATGGGGTTTAGGGCTTAGGGTTTGAAGTTCAGGGTTTAGGGTTCAGGGTTTAGGGTTTAGGGTAACTTGGAGAGGTTCAGGGTTGGGGGTTTAGGGTTTTGGGGGCTTTTGGGGTTTAGGGTTGTGGGGCTTGGGGTTTAGGAACTTCAGAAACGGTATCTCGGGTACCTAGGTGAAGATTGGGATCCAGAGCCAGGCTTCAGGTTTTCGGGCTTAGGAAAAGCATCTTCAAGGGTTTTGATATATATATATATAGATAGATAGATAGATATATATATATATATAGATATAGATATATATATATATATGGGTCATGTTAAGAGAGTTGGGGCAGTTTACGATTTAGCAGTTCAGGGGTTTACGGCTGATAGGGCTTGCTAGGCCGGCCAGCAGGGTGTCGATGTACGGTCTTCCATGTTTTAGGGTTTATAGGGTTTAGGGTTTAGGGTTTAGGGTCTAGGGTTTAGGGTACAGTCTTCCATGTTACTGTTAGAGCTCTGAGCGCTCTCACCTAAGTCTACGCGGAGAGGTTCGGATAGTTTTCGGGGCCAGCCGAGGCCGTGAACCTGTTGACGACAATGAGAGCGCAGCGGAGGAAACTCGGCTGCACCTTTGGGGGAGAGGCTGAAGCGAAATTTTGGGTCCACTGACCTCATTCAGCCCTAGTTCTTTGTAGCCTCAAACAAAGCCTTAAAGCAAGTGTTAGCCTTATCTCAACCCTCTTCAAGACCTGTTGAACCTCAGACCTCAACACAAACCGAGGAACAAGGACAGTACCCTGATAAACAACTTCACAAACGAACACAAAACTCTAGACTACTTAAACCCGAACACCATAGAATTTATTAACTCACTAAACATACCTAACTGCTGAATCCGAGGAAGTTGCTTCGATATCGAGGCGCCTCTTTGAATCTCCCGAGTGCAAGAGTCGCATCTTTGCGGAGAATGCGAAGCACCACATCCAAGAGGCCGGTGTTGGGGTCTGCAGGGCTCGTTTAGGCTTTATAGGGTTTAGGGCCATGGCAAAACCCCAAACCCTAAATCCCCACATACACTACTCTTTAGGGTTCCTTTTCAGAATTAATCATGGTATAGCCTCCGTACAAATCCTGATCTGATGATTAAGGCGCCTTATACTAAGGGCGCATGCTAACGTTTGCACAGGAGGTTTTGCCGGCAGGGGACCTTCAGAACGTGTTGTTGAGTGGAGCCACCCCAATACATGCTTGAAAGCTTGAAAGCCTTACCCTAAGGGTCCATGTACCCAAATGGTATATGCTTTGGACTTACAGTAATCAGTCCCTATATAGGTACTTTGGGGCCAAAGCATATCCTATTTGGGTATCTGGGCTCTTACATTACAGTCTTGTAAGAAGTATTGGTTTGCTTCCAGTGGTCATCCTAAGACCCCCTACATTCAAAACTCTAACAGCCCTTCTTCCTAAACACAAGGGCTTGCGGTTCTAGTGTTTGGTGTTTGTTTTAGGGGCCTTTATAGGGTTTAGGGTTGAGGGGCTGCCGGGGTTCTGGGATTGTAGAATGTCTCTTTCTGGGCGATCCCAGGCTCTTGCTGTAAAAGAATCAAGGGGGATTCAGGGGTTAGACTTCAAAGTCTGTAGGATGTTTAGGGTTTAGGGTTTAGGGGTGGTGTTTAGTAAGAGTGCCCGCAACGTTTACAGGCTAGATAGACCAGCCTAGACCCTAATTATAACCCTGAATCCGACGGTCTGAACTCGGCTCTGAAGTGTGGGCTGTTTTGGGCTTTGAGTCTGGGGGATCCCAAGCGCGAAGGCAGCTGGCGGGGTTTAGGGGTTTAGGAAGCGCAAAGGCAGCTGGCATCCACCCCGGGAACGTCGAACGGCTGTGGCGCTCTTCGTCAGATCATCCGCCAAGCCCGTCGGAGACTCTTGCCAGTGCCTCGCTAAAGATTGGAACTCCAGTGTCTATCGAAGATTCGAGTTGCGGCGCTACTTTTTGGTTTCAAAGGTTTCGTCTTGGAGTTGCGGACCTAGGGCCCGAAGAGTGCAAGCCGGTGGTAAGTATTTAGGCCCTACCAGCCCTAATTCTTGGGTGCTGGAGGCCTTTCAACCTTAAAACCCCAAAACCTAAATCCTACAACCCTCAACCCTAAACCCCCAAAAGCTTAAACCCTAAACCCTAAACACACCCTGAACCCTAAACCCTAAACTAAACCCTAAACCCCAAAACTTAAAACCTAAACCCCAAAACTTGAAACCTAAACCCTAAACCCACCCTTTGCACTTAAAAAACATACCCTAAACGCTAAACCTTAGGAAATGGTTCAACTTAGGCTCGGCCTGGTCTTTGCGATCCAGGCGAGGGTCACCGGCCTTCACGGTTCACAATTTAATGGGCTCTTGTGGGGTTTAGGGTTTCGGGTTTGAGGGTTTAGGGTTTAGGGTTTAGGGTTTAAGGTTTAGGGGTTTAGGGGTTTAGGGTTCAAGAGCCCTAAGGGTCCAAAGGACCCAATCATAAGGTACTTTGGCTGCGGATCGTAGTTATCTAGGTTAATATTTGGGAGAGTGTATGATTACTAGGTACTTGGACCCTTAGGGCCAAGGAACAGGTTAAGTTAAAAAGCTACTCTGAGGGTTTGCTAAAGGTTTAGGATTAAGGAACTTGGTTCAAGTCGCCATAATAAGGATCGGTTGCAAAATAAATCCGTTTCCCTGTTGCGGTAACTCAAGTTCGTTTCCTTAACCAGAGCCCCGCGTAGGGAGAGGGAGGGAGAGGGAGGGAGGGAGAGAGAGGGCGGGAGGGAGGATTACTAGACGTTTGGGGCCTTATCGGCTCGTTGAAAGGATCCTTATGGGTTTCGGTAAGGGTACTATGGGCTTAGGGTCAAGCTCTAGCAGAGTGCTGCGGGTTTGGTGAAGGCTTGGGTAATTTGGTAATCAGTGTATCTTAATTTGAAGAGAAAAGTCCCCGCGAGCAACACCAACAAATCGTTTGAACAAGCTGGTGTCTATCCACTTTTGCTAGGACCGAGGATGCTAAAAGCCGTTTAAACTTGAAGCTAAGCCATACAAAGCCGTCGTTCAGCCCGCTACAAACCCAGTACGGTACAAACTTTGAACATCCGAGAACCCTCAAATTACTGCCTTCTGAAACGGTTTACAGACAGCAAGAAGCCCTATGCAAAACAAAGCACCCTAAACTCTAGACCCCCCTGAACCCTAACTCTAGACTCCCCTTAACTCCCATACTCTGGACCCCCCTGAACCCTAAACTCTAGGACACAGTGCTCGGCTACGAGCTGTATTTAGGTCTGACAGCAAAAAACCAAAGCCCTAAACCCTAAGGGCCCAAGTGCCTAATAATCATATGCTCTCCCAAATATATTTATCTAGATAACTACTATCCGCAACCAAAGTACCTTAGGGTAAACTCCTAATCCCTCCTAGTAGTAGAGTAGGTAACCTTTGACCTTTTTGGGGGATACTATATCCCTATAGAATTCCTATAGAACACCCAAACTTAACTTTTAAATGCCCATGATAACCGACAAGTAAGCCCTAGAGGGTCGTATGCTACCACCTCTTTTGCAGCATAGTAGGTACCATTTAGATTTAAGCTTACAGAAGCTGGAGGGAGCCCCATGTCCCACTTAAAGGCCCAAGGATAACTCCACCTAGTGGGGGCTTATAATCCCAAGTATAAACCTGCTTAAGGTAGTTGTACGTTTAACCCCACCTAGGGGACTTGGAGCAAAATTGTAACCCTACTTGCTACGCCCCCTGAGCCCTCAAGTAGGATCTTGTTGTATCGGACGAGGAGGCGCCAGAGGTTTTTTTAAGTTGAATTTTTAGGGTTTGGGGTTTAGGGTTTTGGGGTTTGCCACCCTAGGCGTGTAGGGTAGGCAGGCCTTTGGGACGTGAATTCTCCCCTTATTGGGCCAGAACGGGGTCATGTTTACGAATCCTATTCAAAGGCTTTTAAAAACGGGTTGACCTAGTGAATGCTCGAGAAGCAGCGCCTTTCGCTATAGGTTCTAGGCGGGCCCTTCTCTCGAGGCGTCACCGTTCGGGAAATCCGCTGAGCAGTCAGCAGCTCGTGGCCTGGCTGCTTCACAAACATACCCATAGGCCCTAAGTAGTTCCTTTTTGAGATTACCTTATAGGATTCTAGATATAATCCACAAAAAGGAACTACTTAGGGGCCTATGGGTACGGCATCAAAACACCATGTCAAGTTTGATGATATGGGTAGCTCTCTGAATAGGGTCCGTTTTTGGGTCCCTAAAATAGTGCGGCACCCTAAAACAAAAGACCCTAAAAGGGACCCTAATTTAGAGAGCTACCCATATGACATAACCATAGTAGAAGCCATGAAATTGGAGCATCACCATCCCCGTGCCCGTAAGGCTAAAGTAATAAGGGATCCTGGCACTAGTCATCCTAAATCCATGTTCCAACTTTCTGGGATTCACCGCATGTGCTTAGAGATTGCTAAACTTAGGGTGCTTCTATATAGGGTTTACTTGCGTTCTGTTCTGAGGGATGTCAGTGGGTTTTTCAGGGATTCGTCAGGGCATCCTGTTGCAGGGCCTTCATGGTATCGTACTCGTATGAACCGAGGTCAAAACTCGTGTCACATAGCCACACTTTCTGAAGCTTTCTGGCAAAGGTATCAATGGTTCCCCAAATGGCCAAGTACCTAAGAACCATATACATTCCCAATTTCTAACATACATAACTATTATACGAAGTCCGAGTACCTACTTACCTAAGCCCTAAAGCCTAAACCCCAAACTCGAGCACCGAATTTTTGGAATCCTTTGGACCCCGATTTTACCCTTTGAAGTGTCCCCGCTTGGGGTTTCGTAGTGGGATGACTCGGTCCTGGGCCGAACGCGTGACTTGTTACCCAGAGGGTCCATCTCTACTGTTTAGGGTTCAGGGCTTAGGGTTTAGGTTTAGGGTTTTAGGGTGGGTCCCAAAAGACCATCCTAACAGTGGCTTTAGGGACCTGTTCCAGAATAGGTAGTGTCTATAGACGCTCCATGTTATCTAAACCCTCGAGGGTTTCGAGAAAGCTACGGTGTTTCGTCGGCTGTCTTCATCGTTGAAGCCTTAAACCATCGACCTCACGACCCTCCACCCTACAAAACCCCGAAGTAAAGCCTCACCCTGAATTCCCAAACGACGCACTCCAGGGTCCAAGTATCAAATAAATATACACACCACCCCCGAAAAAGTTAACCTACAAAGCAATTGTACTAAACCCACGTACCCAATGATTGGGGTTTTCTGACCCTCCTGACGAGACCCTCATCTCTTAACCCTTCCAGGAAGGGTTGATGATATAAATCCTGCATCACCCATATTAAGGAATAGACCAGAATTCCCATAGTTTCGGCTCCTCAAGGTAGTGCAGGGTATGTATATATATATATATATCATCATCATCATCATCATCATCAGAAGGGGGTTTCTGACCCTTGTCCTGAAGCACTTGCTCCCAGGAGACCTTACAGTCCTTCGCAGGGCAGCAGCAGCTGCAAGAGCGCAGGGACTACAACGCAAGGAACTTCCGCAAGGTCCACGGAGGGTTACATCAGGGTTCTGTAGAAGTTCCATGAAATTCTAAATGGGTTTCTGTTATATAAGAATTGACTAGGGATGTGCGGACTTCAGGATTTTTGATGGAATGGAATTACGGGGTTGAGGGCATGAAGGTGTTGGCATTGAGGATCTATATTCAGATCTCTTCTCTGAAGCTGAAATTGTTGCCATCGTTCCGACCCTTCGCCTCACCTCGGCAAAACGGCGCAAGTCCGACTAATTTGGGGCATCGTACCCCGAGCCCTAAACCCTTGTGCTTTCAAGCTCCTAAAAAAAAACCTGTATATTTTTTACTTGCAAGCTCCTAAACAACCCGACCCATGCCCTGAACCCCAAATCCTAAACCCTTGTCAACCCTACAGGCACCTCCTCGACAAGACAGGGCTTGAGGCTCCAAGGTTGTCGCTTCAGCTTCGGATCCCATGGTTAAGAGTCCCTGAAGAAGTCGCTGCAGGAGTTCTACATGGCTTTTGGGGAGCGTATATGCTAACCTAAAGCTCTCTAGATCCCTGCGAATGCGCAAGGGTCCCTATAAACCAGAATTCACTATATCCATGGAGAAAGTATCCCAAGTAGGTCCATGAAAAGGATGAGTCCTTCGATCTTACCAATGTGGGCGAATGTAGCACCGGGTGGCGAAGTCATGAGGTCGAACATAGAGAAGTGTCGGTGAAATAACTCTAGAGCTTTAAAGGATAAGCTCCTAAGCCTCCCTCTTCAAGTACTTCCCAAAACCCTCGAAACTTTATGGTGAAATATGCCTCTGCACCTCTGAACTGAGCCCAAACCCGGAATCTCTGCAATCCTAAAGCTTACCCCAAGGGCTATGCGCTTTGGACCCAGGGGCCGTAAGGAGAGTGCTTAGAGCTCCCATTCCCAAAGGCTCCTAGGTACTGCTATGGGGCATACTTCCCCAAATCATCATAGTAATTCCTAATATAGGATTCCCTCAACCCTAAACCCTGAACCCTGAACCCTAAACCCTAAACCCTAAACTCTAAACCCCAAAACCCCTAAACCCTAACCGCTAAACCCTAAACCCCTAAAGCCGAAGCAGACCCGAAAACCCGCATCGAAGGCCTTGGCGGGTGTAGGCCTCGTGGCCCCGGTTGCAAGCACGAAGGCGAGGCCATGGTTCGGGGTTTAGGGTTCAGGGGTTTAGGGGTTCAGGGTTTAGGGTTTAGGGTTTAGGGGTTTAGGGGTTTAGGGTGTAGGCAATAGGGTTCAGGGTTTAGGGTTTAGGGCTTGGGATTCAGGGGGCATTTGCATCGGTGATGTGTACTGCTTAATGGTTTCGCTTTCCTTGGCGTCAGGGCTTAGAGGTAGTGTTCGGAATTTTAGGTAGGTTTCAAGTAGTTTCGTTCAGCTAGGGCCGCTGCAAGATAGCAGCCCCTAGGTGTTGCGAGGATACCAGTTTCATCCTTTCTCGTGTTGGGTTCTCCCTGCAATGTTCATGGCATTACATTCACTGAAGCCAAACCCCGCGGATAGCTTTCTCGTCAAATCTTGTGTGAAGTCAGACTCCTAGTGAAGGTTCACTGACCTCGTCCTGTTGGGCCGCTTGTGCTTTGCAACTGACCCGGCGAATCTTCTACCCCCATAGGCCCCTAAGTAGTTCCTTTTTATGGTTTATATTTAGAATGCTTTCAGGTAATCCCAAAAAGGAACTACTTAGGGGCCTATGGGTAGCGCCTCTTTCTAGCGCCGATGGCGCAGCCCAAAGTCGGGCTTGGGGTACAGGCTTCACGGCTTTGGTGTTCAGGGCTTATGGTTTAGAGTCTCGAGTCTCGGCGTCTAGAGTTCAGGATGTAGGGTGTCTGGTTTTAGGGGGTTGTTTCGAAGAACGGCTCCCTTAGAGTCTAGAGTTCAGGATGTAGGGTTTATTGTTTAGGGCGTCCCTTCCAGGGGTTGTAGAATCGGCTGATGCCAATCAACAACACCAAAACACGGAGGGAGCCCTAATTACTGTCCCAGGAGGGTCCAGATATACTATCATTATGGAACTAGGTACCCAAGACCATAAGCATAGATTGTCTTTTGGCACCTAACTCCAAAGCGGTAAGTAATGTACATGCACCATGCGGGTTCTGAATGCTTCCCCAGTTTGGCTGGCAGGAATTCACAGTAGAAGCGTATAACGCCCTTACTTCTAAGGGGCATTTGGTCCGTAAGGTAGTCTTAGAAGCCCCCTATAAAACTAGAAGGGACGGTACGCTGGAGGAGTCGCCCGCGCGTAGCCCGAAACTCCTTTAGGGATCTTCGGGGCTGATTGCAATGGTTTCCTTGTAGAAGTCCTTCAAAAGGTAGGTCTTTACCACCAGCTCCCACCAAAACCTAAAACCATTAAGCCCTAATTATAAATCCTCTGCCCATGGGCCCCTAAGTAGTTCCTTTTTATGGTTTATATTTTGAACCCTATAAGGTAGTCCCAAAAAGGAATTACTTAGGGGCCTATGACTTGTCCCTGCCAGCTAGGCTTTGACCGAAGCCTCGGGGCCTACGCTGGTTACTCCTCAACGCCGCCGGCCACGGGTTACGACGACACCGGAGAAAGGCGGTCCAAGGGGTTTGGGGGTTCGTAGCCAACTTGCATAGTCAGGGTATGTTACATGTGCTAGTAGGTTTGGGGTTTAGGGTTTAGGGGGTTTGGGGGATTTGGGGTTCAGGGCGTCGGGATTTTTTGGGCGTCAGGGTGTAGATGGGTTTAAGATTTTTGGTTCAGGATAACGCGAACTACAGTTCAGGCACCAGGGCTTCATCCTAGAGCTTTGGGTTTAAGGTTGAGAAATGGCATCTGTAAAAAGGGGTGCTACAAGCATAGAGAATCAGAGGCTTCTGGAGTCATTCCTTGTTGGGTGTCCATTTCGAGATTCGTGTTTTCCCCTCGAGTGCCACCCTCCCGCATGCCTGATTCTGAGACCCGCTGACCTAAACCCGAAACGTACATGCGGTTTAGGGTTTAGGGCCTTAAAAAACGATCTTTTTGTGCAAGAGGGAGCAGACAGGCTGGAGCAACAACCTCGACAGCACCGACAGATCCGACGTCGCACGAGAACCGTGCAAAGTCGGAGCGACAATGCGAGAAGAAGCTGAGGCAAGCTCAGCAGCATCAACACCAGCAACGCGTGAAGCAGCGCAGCAACCATAGAGGGAAAGACAGAGAGAGGGAGAGAGAGAGAGAGAGAGTCACAAATACGCGGGGCATGGCTGGAAGAGGACATCTCCACATACAACAGACAGAGGGACGGACTGACAGAGAGATAGACAGATACAGTTAGACAAATGGATAGGCAGGCACTTAACAGAAGCAACCAAGACTTAGACAGATATCTGAAACTTTTTGAGAAGTCTCCGAAGTTCCAGATACTCCGGACCCAAAACAGCACACCCCTCCACCCCCCTAAACCCTAGACCCTAAAACCTAAACCCTAAACCCTAAAAACCCTAAACCCCAAAGCCGCAATCCCCTGGTTGACCTATGTCAGACCGCTGGGATGATCGGACTTCCTGTGCAAGGATCGGTTTTTGTGTTATCGGCTCTGATCCCGAAGCCGACATAGGGTTCAGGGTTTAGGGGTTTAGGGTGTAGGGGTTTAGGGTTTAGGGGTTAGGGGTTTAGGGTTTAGGGTTTAGGGGTTTAGGGTTTAGGGGTTTAGGGTTTAGGGTTGACAAAGCTTTTCTGGCAAGGTTTAGTTTTTCAAATCTGGTTCCAGCTTGTTGAGCGGGATTGTTGTTTCCCTCGCAGGGTGTAGCGTTCAGCTTTACATCTCAGCTTTTCAGTGTTGTTTTTGTAGGCTTGCAGCTTTCTCTGGGATTTCAGCATCCATGACATATTTCTAGGGTGGGTTCGGACCTAAACAAAGAAAATCCTAAACCCTAAACCTTTGCAACAGGACGGATTCAGAACAAATCATACTGTTCATGATCGTTCGGGGTGCTGGTGTTTCTGGCCGCATGGTCTTCGGGTCGAGGGTTGGAGGTTCAGGGTCTAGGCAGACACACATTCACATCTGCTTGGTCTTTCGGGTTTAGGGTTTAGAGTTTTAGGGTTCATGGTTCAGGATTAAGAATTTAGGGTTTTAGGGTCTAAGGGTTTTCGGTTTTCGTATCGCTGGATGGAGTCTCAATGTCGGGGCAATTAGGCATAAGCATGCATCTAAGGCTAGGGCATTTCACGGGGCTCAGCGGTGGTCATGCGGCCAGGACATTCGATGGCCTGCCGCTCCGAATTGTTCGGCAAGTCGCCAAGTGAAGATCCATCCGGGCTGCTTTGATTGAGCAATTGCCTACCGCCCACATCAGAAGCACCCCGCCGACAAGGTTTTCCATGCAAGCATGGACGCAGAACAGTTTTGCCGCTCAATTGTAGCCCCGGGCGGCATTTGCATTTTGTTGTGGCACCTCACTTCCACTGTCTGGCTTCTGCAGGCAGATTCAGAAACATGACAATAACATGTAAGAGTGGCAGTCAAGCGAAGTTAGGAACCTGAACCCAGAGCCGTAAATCGATGCCAGGAGCTACCTGACAAGGTTTGTTCATCTCTTCTTCAGAATGGCCCTTCCTGCAGAGAGAGTCTGCCGCAGTGGCAGGTACAGGCCCTCGAGAGCCCAACACCCTTTAATCTTAGGGTCTTAGGGTTTAAGGAAGTTAGTCAAGTACCTTGCATCATACTTCCCCTCGGTGCACGCCCTCATCTCCAATCATATACAGCATACAGCCTTAGGTTTTTGTATCACGAAGCTTTGCAGGTATACGGTATACACCTAAACCCTAAACCCGACATGCTTTGAGCTATTTTTCTTGAGTAAGGGGCACCTTCGCCTCTTTGAAATGATGGGTCTCTCCATTGGCGCAAGCGAGTCGCACATGGGTAAGAGCCGGATGGATGTGGCCGTCACTGAGGGAAGAGCGCTTTAGGACTCTAGGGTCTAGGGTTTTCTAGTGTAGGGTTCCGCAATTTAGCTTTTTTGATATTTTGGGGTTTTGGGTTTAGGCCATATGTAGGTAGTTTCTGTTACAAACACTTGTGTGGGTATAAGTGTATCAAGTCTACGTCAGCTGTTTACAGCTAGTGTGGTGGAGGCATGCAGTTTTTTTTCCAATTGTTGTTTGGCATTGTAGATTAGCGATGTGTCCACTTCCGAGTATTCTGCGCTGCGAATGCAGGGGTGTTCATTCCCCTACAACCCTTACCTCGTGGCGGTCAGCCAGTCCGGCAAAGAGCATGGCTGAATTTGATGGTTTCCCCGCCGAGTGTTACTGTGCACATGGATCTGCATGCCAACGACTGCGGGCACCGCGAGTGTTTCTATAAGCCTGAAGCCCTATACCATAAACCTGCCCTAAACCCTAAACCTTCCCTAAACCCTAAACCTTAAACCATAAACCTTCCCCAAACCCTAAACCCTAGGCCCTAAACCTTAAACCATAAACCCTAAACCGTAAACCATAAACCCTAACTGGAGTCTCAGCCTGCCGTGCACCAACCTCCTGGCTCTCAGCTCCTTTGCACAGTGAAACAGTGCTGTTCCATACAGCGGACCCCTTCAGAGAAAGAGCGGGAGAAAAGCAGAGGATGTGTCCCCACACCAGGGCCGCTTCGCAGTACTCTGAAGGCTTAGATAGCCAATCGGAGAACTTTAGACTTTCTGGCCTTACATATTAGTTATTAGGTCTATGCTGAAAAGTTTGGACTTTTTTGGGGCCTGGTTGTTGAAGAAGAGAGGAAGGACTCTTCAAGTCTAAGCTTTACCCGTAGTTCCTTCTTGGGATTACCTTATCGGATTCTACATAACTATGAACCATAAGAAGGAACTACTTACTTAGGGGCCTAGGGGTAAACTTTAAGGCCCCGAGCCCAGGTTACTTTGCCAGCCATTGACGAGAGGGAGGCGGCAGAGGCGCTCACCCCAGGGGTTCAAGTACCTAATAACCATATGGGTAGTTGTCAAAATTATGGTCCCTTTGTGGGGTACCCTAAATAATAGGTGCCGTATTATAACAAGGACCCAAAAAGGGGCCATAATGTTGACAACTACCCATATGGAAGAGTGGGATTCGAGGATTCATCGAG